AAGAAGATTTTTGAAATATTGGATAATTTTCCCTTTGGGGCCCCGCCCTGGCCCCAGGGGTTGGGGTAGGAATCCCAATTTTACAATTTTGAAGCCTCATCTACCAAGGATGATTCTGACCAAGTTTGAAAAAAATCCATCCACTGGTTCTTGAGAAGAAGTTGAAAATGTAAAAGTTTACGCACGACGGACGAAAAGCGATTGGAATAGGTCACTTGAGCAAAGCTCAGGTGACCTAAAAAAAGTCAAAGAAACCAACAGATGCTCATGAAGGGAGCACTCGCCACCACAGCGACAGAAAGATTCCTTCCAAGAAACTGAAGAAGAGCAGTAACCAGAAAAGGTCAAAGAAGCCGACGAAACAGATTGGAAATATGTTGGACAACTTCAGGAAAGCGAAAAATTATGAAGAACTAAAACTTTTTTTCTTATGCCAAAGATATGGAAAACATAGTAGCACGCCCTAACAAATATCATAGACAGTGGATCATTTGTCGTCGACTAAATTGCCTATGACTTGCTGCCTGTGGGAGTCCAGTAACCTATAGTTTATATAGGGATATACCACTTTTGACTATATTTTATCCATTTTCAGCAAGAAATAATTATACCCCCGTAACGAAGTTAGGGGGGTATACTGGAATCTGTCGGTCTGCCTGTCGTCCACAGTAACTTGTCTGGACAACTTCTCCATTGAAACTTTGATGTTTGTTTAACGTCCTATTAACAGCTAAGGTCATTTAAGGACGGCCTCCCCTGTGTGCAAGATGCATGCGTGTAGTGTATGTGTGTGTGTTTTGGGAGGCTGCGATATGTTCGTGTTTGTCTCCTTGTGATAGCGCGGAACTGATGCCGACTTTATAGTGCTACCTCACTGAAACATACTGCCGAAGACACCCAGCAGGACGCCCCACCCGGTCACATTATACTGACAACGGGCGAACCAGTCGTCCCACTCCGAATTTGCTGAGCGTTAAGCAGGAGTAGAAACTACCATTGTTAAAGACTTTGGTATGTCTCGGCCAGGGGACAGAACCCAAAGCCTTCCTCACAGGGGCGAACGCTCAACAAATGGCCAAAAGTGAGGCATTGTCAAGGGAGACATTAGGAAGAGGAAAGTTATTTAGAAAGGAGAGAAGAGATAAGGTCCCAAATTTAGTCGCCTCTTACGATCTTGAAACTTTGAATGAATGGTCGGTATTATATGTAATTGTGCACTGGCATCTTAATTTTGGGATTTCGACCCTTTTTGGTGGAGTTATGCCCTTTGTGTGAAATACTTGTCACTGGTGGTAGACTATTTGCTTTGGCTTAGTAAGCCTTTATCTTACAGTTCGGGTTTATATAGGAGCGAGGTATTAGTTAGCCTTTAGCTAGAACTAGTTCTAGTTCAAACTTGATTTAAATAATTGTGATGAAATTGAAAACTACCCATAATATACCTCAGAAGACCATTAAGGCCAGCTATTATAGTTAACCTTTCATTTTAAATATGGACATTAAATTATTATAAATACTTTTATATCTAATTCTTTTCTTCAATACAGGACAAATATGATGAAGAGATTGTCAGGCTGACCATAGATGGTTTCTCAAAAGACTTCAAGTGCATGGTAACACATGGCTACATCAAATGTCCGGTAACAGTAAGAGGCTACACGTATACAAAAGGAGCTCAAAAGAGCAAAGGCAGGGCAGGATGTAACCTTCACCGGGGAAAATGGGCAGCATATAGATGTGGATATTGCTATCCTGGAAAAGCCAGCTGATGTTAAAGTTGACCTGAACAGCTATGTTCAACATTTCATGCAATGGTACCTCCTTATATTAAGTTGCTGTGAAGGAGGGTGACATAGTGAGGAACAATATCCATATGAAGCTCTTGATACCCTTTTTCTATCGTCATTCTGTTTTATCCAAATACATGACAGAGTGTATAGACTACATTTTGAAAACAGAAGTTTTTTTCTGTCCGAGAGAATGGCATTGAAAGTAAGAGCTACCTCATGTGTTAATGTGCAAACAAGGTGAGAACAAAGCAGCAGACCTACAGAAAGAGAATGAAGTGCTTGTACTTAATGATTTAATACGTGGTATAGGTGCCAACAAAACAGAAAAAGGCTGCATCTGTAATCCAATCAGTTGTCAACAACATGGACAACATGGACCACATGACATGATGGGTTTGAAGAAGAAAGCAACACGCACAAAAAATGTTTTAAAGAAAATGTTATTGTTTTATTGGATTACCTCAGAAAACAATCCTTGGACACCTGTGCCCGACAGGAAACTTAAACACTTTTCAGAAATAAGTAGATCTGCATTCCGGTTTGATGACTTCAGTTTAAAATGCAAATAATGGGCACTGTAAACCGGTTGAAAAGATACTTGCCCGAGTTTGATGATGGGGTCGAAAGTGATTAAAAACAGGGAGTTATTTGTGTTTTATAAATGCAGAAACAGGAAATTCCTTTTTCATACAACTATGTATTTTACAAATAAACTTCAAAAATACATTAAACTGCATTATTCCTTCACCATATTTTGGTATAATGCTTAATGTAAACAATATTAACAAGATGCCCAGAGGGCCTGTATCGCTCACCTGGATATCTAAGCAATCATGGCAAAATATTCTCCAAATGAGATCCAAGGGAATATGCCAGACCACAAGGCCAATCCAGGATCAATTTTAATATCATGACTGCATTCGTCTCTTTTTCCCAAGCAATTGTATTTATAGTTTTGGGGTGGGAATCTTAACCATTTCGAAGTTATGACCCAGGGGTTAAGTCTCCAAGGGTGGGGCAGACCGCAAGGCCATCATTGAAGCATATGTGCATTCATTTCTTTATACTTAGGAATTGTATATATGGTTATAGGGTGGGGATATCAACTGTTTCCAAGCTGTGACTAAGAAACTAGGTCCCTAGGGGTTCAGTCAGAACCCTAGGGTCTATTCTTTTATCATGACTGCATTCGTCTCTTTATGCCCAGCACATGTATATATAGTTTTGGGGAGGGGATTTCAACCATTTCAAAAGGTTTGTGATGTTATAAAATGAACAGGAACGTATCCAAGGGGAGGGCCAGACCCTAGGGCCATCCTGGAAGCAACTATGCATTCTTCTTTTCATATTCGAATTGCCCCCTTTTGGCCCCGCCCCTCAGCCCCCAGGGGGACAGCCCCACTATTTGTATAATTTTGAATCCCCATCACCTAGGGATGCTTCCAGTTAAATATGGTTGATATCCATTTCTTAGTTCCAGAGAAGAAGTAGCTTAAAGCAATATAGCCAAATTGCCCTATTTTGGCCCCGCCCCTCACCCCCTAGTGGGTCAGCCCCAAGATTTGTACAATTATGAATTCCCACCACCTAGGGATGCTTCCAGTCAAATATGGTCGATATCCATCTCCTAGTACCAGAGAAGAAGTCGCTTAAGGTAATATAGCCAAATTGCCTGCTTTTGGCCCCGCCATTTGTACAATTTTGAATCCCTACCACCTAGGGATGCTTCCAGTCAAATTTAGTTAAATTCCAATCAGTGGTCAAGATAAGAAATATTTGATGGACGGACGGACGACGGTATGGCATAAGCTCACATTGGTCCTTCGGACCAGGTG